GGTGAGTGCCGGGACTCGGAGTGCGGCTCCGCATCTGCCAGGTCCTGGTGGAAACACCTGGGCCTGGCGTCAGCGTGGCCGTGTGTTCCCAGCGCGGCGCAGCCCGAGCGGGGGTGACAGCCCTGCCGAGCCCGGGGCGCTCACTGTTGTTTTGCTTTCAGTTATGCCCTGTATAACCTTTTGTTCAAGAACGCTGCTGCTGAATGAGTAGCTAGATACTCTTTTTTCCCCTAAAGTTGTGTGCAGGAGACCTCAACGTAAGAAGTTCTGGTTTGCATACTTCAGATTTTTCTAACAGCATTAACGTGCAGTGATAAAGGTGGGACAGGACCTTGACGTGTCTGTGCACATTTATTCATGAGAGCCACGAAACAGTTTGAGGTTTGGTTCAGATTGCCAATGAATTTACTTTCTGTGTAACTGTTGCAGGAGCTTATAACCAGTTCTTGGTATTTTGCTGGTTACAAAGACATTGAGTAGTTAGCAGCTGCACATTTCCTTAGCTGGTGCCCGCTGTTCACTTGTGTCTCATTTCCAATGTGGCACATCCCTGGTTCGATAGCTGGCCACTGCCATAGGCAGAGGGATCAACAGAGACTTTCCAGCAGGGCAGAAAGACCAAGGCAGGTGTGAGGTACAGCTGTGCACCTACAGCACAGCAACAGCATCTTCCAATGTGAAGGCCTGGGAAGGGAGCAGAAGTCCAGACAAGGAAATAGGAGATGTTTTTTTCTCTCCAAAGCATACGGAAGGCATTGGATAATAATTTACAAATCACATGTGCAAAGGAGAGCTAGGTAGATGTTGTGGTTTTATTTTTCTGCTTGGACTTAGGAACTCTGAGTGAATTCCTTTCTGCTGATGAGCTTATAATGTTGAAATTAAATGGAGTTCAATTTCAAAAAGGTTCTGGAACATGAACTGAGAGTGACCTGTCTGTGCTGTTCACATGCAAACAGCAATCCCAAGAGGATGGTTTCCTTCACTAGGGAATGTACTTGAACACAGTAAGACTGTACAATAAAAAATAAATGAAGCAACATTCAAAGGAGAAACCTAAGATGAATCTTTTTTGTTTGTTTGTTGTTTGGGGTGTTTTTTCCCCATTTCTGCAGTGATTCTAAGAAAAGTTTTTGGATGTCCTGTTCATTTTCTTTTCTAAAAGTCTTCTTACTTACAGTCTTCTACAGTGTTACCGAATTTCTCAGTTGATCTGCATAACTGGATTTTGTAGACATGATGTGCCACCTCCAGTTTTAAAATAACTGATTGTTTTAGAACATACTTTATATGCATTTTCAGGAAGGAGAAGATGCAGCATATGCAGATATTATTCCCAGTTGAATTACTGTGTCAGAGAACTAAATGAAGTATAACTGAAATTGTCTCCTATTACTAAGGTATTGCTGAAATCCTAATGAACCGACCCCACGCGAGAAATTCACTGGGAAAAGTATTTGTAAATGAAGTGAGTATGGGCCTGGCCTGTGAGCGTGTTTGGAACCATGATCAATAACTAACTGCACTGAGAACAGTTGTGGGAAATCAAAAAAAACCTAACTCATGTTGAAGGGAAGTGGGAGATGGCATTGGGGCAAGGCAGGTGAACCTGGAGAAAAACAGATTGTAACAGTTACTGCCTCAGATGTGGACAGAGATATCTGGGTTATTTAAATTATCTAAGTTAATTTGTTGAAGTTAACTCAGATGCAAGTTAATGTCTTAAAGCATACTGTCACACCTTAGCAGTGACAACACATCCTAGAGAAAGTCTGGCTCATGCCTGGACAGGAAGGGAAGTTTTAGGTGCAACAAAGGTTCATCTCTGAATGGAAGGAAAAAAGAGATGGGGAAATGTGTCATTCTGAATTTGTTGTGGAAGAACCTGTAGGTTGCACTTACATGATTTCCATGAATTTTCTGGCACCTGCAGGGGAAAAAAAAACCAAACTACTTCTATCATTGATTAGGCACTTGCTATAATTTCAGTGTATATACACATCCATATGCCTACATTTTTTTTTTCTCGTTTGCACTCCCTCCCTTGTAGCTGTTCAGTGTCCTGGAACAGCTCCGCTTCGACGAGCAGGTGCGAGTGGTGGTGTTCAAGAGCCAGGTGAAAGGAGTGTTTTGTGCAGGTGAGTAGCCAAAGGCTCTGCAAACTCTTCTCAAAAAATGTGGTGGCTCTTAGAGTCATGCACCAATCAGATCATGCAGAAAAGCAGTTGGTAATGAATGCTAAAATAAATTTTAAAAAATCTGTCAAAAGGGCACAGAGGAGCACCCTCGTTACTGCTGCAGCCCAAATGTCCACACTCCAACTTCCATGGACCTTACTTAACTGGAATGCTGTATCTCAAGACTTTTTAAATGGTCTGTCATCTGAGGGGGACTGGAGAGAACACTTCAGATGTCTTTTCCTAGATTCTAACCTTTTTCTTCTTTATTTAGGAGCAGATTTAAAGGAACGTGCAAAGATGGATGATGCAGAAGTTGGAGAATTTGTTAGAAGACTGAGAAATCTTATGGATGAAATAGGTAAAGGATTATGTCAGTTGGAAAATTTATCTAGATCACCTAGTGAAATATTTAGAAATTATGTAGGAGGAAATAACTAGCAGGTTATCCACCTAGGATTAGCTTTCCAAATGGCTTCAGCTTATGCCAGAAAGAGAGATCCAATTAGAATTAAATACCAACCATCCTGCTGCCCCTCCAAGGACAAGATGCATTTCTTATCCACAACAAAGCACATACATACCTATGTAATAAATACCTGCTCTAGGTTTTTTATTCCACACTTCTGTGGAGTCCTTGGGAAGCAGGTTCTGTGTTGTTTGTTCTACTTCCAGTACATGTTTAGAAACACTCAAAATATGGCCGAGACCTAAGAACACGGACTTGAGTCTCTGAATGGATTTGCTAAATGGATTTGTGGAATGTCAGGGCGGGGGTTGTATCTACAAGTCCCTTGCCTCCCTTTTTCTTTGCAAAAGGAATATGAACTTCTGCAATTAATTTTGTTTCCCTATCTATGAATTATTCTGCTCTCACTAGGAAGAAATGAAATACCGAAGTCAAATCTAAAATACCAATCAGAATTGCAATAATTTAAAAAAAATTACAGAAGCAGTCAGGGTGGTTACAGGAGAGAACTAGCTCAGCTCTGAAGTTTGCATCCAGCTGTCTGAGTAGTTAAAGTATCAAGCAGCTAATCTCCAGATACATCAAGTTCCTCACCTATGAGGCAACCTGGTTAAATAGTGTTTACTGTTCCTGTTTTCAGGAGCCTTGGCTAACAAAAGCACCACAAAAACTGAACATTGTGACAGGGCCTAGGGAGGGTGTCTTCTCTTTGGCTGTTTAACTGCAACAGATGAATATGCATGCCATAGATTTGCAAGGAGAGGATTGATCCCGTTTGTGTTACACCACTTTCTGTTTGCAAGCTTCTCTGTATGGAAGAAGCATGTTTTGCATTCTTACTAAGAAAGGAGAAGTGCACAAAGATAATCTTTACTGTTTTCAGACCGTAAATTTGTGTCAGAAGAAAATGAGTTCTTGAACAATTATGAAAGCTTTAGAACATAAGGATTTAAATTGCAGGACCGTGTGAAACAGAACTTGTGGAACACAACTGTGCAATCTGTGCTCTCTTCTGTAGCTGCCCTGCCTGTGCCCACAATCGCTGCAATCGATGGCTACGCCTTGGGTGGTGGATTGGAGCTGGCCCTGGCCTGTGACCTCAGAGTGGCAGGTTTGTGTTACTCAGTGTAGCAGTCTCCTGGCAATTGATGGCTGTATTTTTAAGAGAATTTACACACGTGACAGTGGATGGTTAATGGAATCCAGGAGCTTGAGTGAAATTTAACAGAAGGTTGTACAGAAATTGGACATTCAGTTACTATTTGGAAAGTAGTTCCTATGCTTAAAAAGTAAAGCCTATTTTTAGGTAAAATTAGGTTTCCTCTAGAAAACTATTTATTAGTAGGATTGAATAGTTATCGTTAACTTAATACTGGATCAGATATACTCTGGCTAGATCTAACCTTCCCAGCTTAAATCAGTTTGGGTTGAAAGACATTTCTTCTGTTTCCATGCTTCCATCCATTGTATTTCATCTAGCAGGGACCTGAGGTTCATTTTTCTAGCTAAAATTGCTATACTGGGGTATGCAGACTTGAGACAGACATTGAGAAAGTATTGTAGTATTCAGAGTTTCAGGCTACCTGGAGAAATGGAGTTCCAGTTCAGTATTGACAGTTTCTAATTTTATTGATCAATCTGGAAAACTTCTAGTTATACAAATCAAAATGTAGCTAACCCTACATTTATTTTTTAATAGCTTCATCAGCTAAAATGGGCCTTATTGAGACCACACGAGGACTTCTGCCTGGAGCAGGTAACCTTCATTAAATCTTAACCTTCATTAAACCTTCATTAATATTCATAAAATCTCACTTTCTCAGCTGTATTGTATTGTAAATATTTTGCCATTAGAGTATGTTCTTGAACACTTGAAGTGTTTTGAAGGTAAATTAGAAGTAGCATCTTACAGTCATGAAAGAGATCTATGAATCAAGAGTTCTGTCTCAGACATACTCTGAATTTAGGGAAGTCCCTTTACACCTTTTCCTTTTTATCAAAATACTAAAGCCTTTCAGACTCCTCAAAAAATGTTAATGTATTCAGCCAGTAGTTATTAAAGAAACATATGATCCCTTTATTTTTTAAGCCTTCTGATTTTATAAGGAGACAAAATACTACTGGGGCATTTGTCAGAAATGGAAAATGGTGCTTTTCCTGTTGTCCTAAGGTGGAACCCAGCGCCTGCCCAGATGTGTTGGAATAGGTCTTGCAAAGGAACTCATTTTCACTGGCAGACAGGTTGATGGAGAACAGGCAGCCTCCATGGGGCTGGTAAATCATTCAGTGCCACAGAACAGCGAGGGAGATGCAGCTTACCAGAGAGCTTTAACTTTGGCTAAAGAAATCCTGCCCCAGGTAAGTGCATTGTTCATGGGACCAATGTAAAGACAGCATTTGTGCTGTCCTTAAGAGAGAACAAACACCTGAAATTCCTTTCTCTGAAATACTGAAGTCTTGGTTCCTGATCTTTAAGTCTGTTCCTTTTTGTGAATGAAGTTTTTGTAGGAACAAGTGTTCTAACATCCAGCTACTTAACCCACAGGACAGTTTTACCCCCTAGCTGCAGCCACACAGACCTGCAGGACACATTGAAACCTCACACCGTGTTCATCTGTGAACTGCAGACAACACCAAATTGATTTTTTAAAAAATACTTAATAACTTACTGCAAATTTCTGTAGACTAAAATGTCATTTGGAACTAGGATGATAATAATACAATAACTAATCTATTATGAATTAATTTTAATTTAATTATTTAAAAATATTTGTTGTGGTTTGTTTTTGTTTTTAATAAAGGCACCATTTGCTGTGAAAATGGGAAAACTGGCAATAAACAAAGGAATAGAGGTAACAATTATTTTTGTTTAAATACTGAGGTGAATGAAAAGATTAGCAGCTCTTACAAATTACTACAGTAAAAATGTTTAGAACTGATTATAAAGTTATGAGTTATACAATTTTTCTTTATATCAGACATTTAAAACCATTTCAAAGGTTTTAAAAAATTTGTTTAAAGATAAAATGGCAGGGTTTTTTTTTCTACAGATAGTAACATGTACTTCTAATATTGAAGATCACTTACTATGACTGAGAGTGACTGACTGCTCTCATTGATTTGAGAGTTATGAAGTAGCTTTGAGGGCTGTACTTCAGATAAACCTCACACCTTTCCTCTCCTTCCCAGGTTGACATTGCATCAGGGATGGCTATTGAGGGGATGTGTTATGCCCAGGTAAACTGCCTTCAGAATTCACTCCTGAAAGGAACAACTGTACATTAGTTAGAGAATGAGCTTTACAAATGGTTTTAGTTTAATAAATTCAAAACTAGTCCTCCTGTAGTTCTTTGCAGCAAGTTTTGAGAGCGTGCATCTTTCTCAGCTAAAGGAACAATACAGGGTATTACAATATAATGTGTCTCTCAGCATCTTTTAAGATGATGAAGATTATGGAAAATGCTTTTCTTATATAGATCTATGGGGTTTTTCTGAGGTGCTTTGTTTGTGAGTTACACTACAACCCTGTCTCTTTTTTCCCCAATTTCAAAACATGGAACTTTATCATTGAAAGAAATGCAATCTTAGTCTTAGACCATTACTGCCAAATTAGTCAGGACTTAAAAACACATCAGACTTGTAAATGGAAAACATACCTTTCTTTCCTTTTTTTTTCTCATGTAGAATATTCCCACCAGAGACCGTCAGGAAGGGATGGCTGCCTTCAGGGAGAAGCGACCCCCTCAGTTCACCGGCAAATAACACTTTCTGCTTCCCCTTGAGTCTCTGGAGATAAAGCAGGACTGAGGAGGATCCACTGATTTCTTATGATTATTTTTATGACACCATTCTGTGCACTTAACTCCTTGCCTAGGACTGCATTTCTAACTACTCCACAGGATTGTTTTTCTGTACAAATCTCCAAATAAAGATTTAACTTTGTACACCTGATCTTTAAAGCATGTTCACATGAAGTCAGTAGTTAGGGCTCTCAGACAGATGTCAAGTAAGGAATATAGAGAAGCTTTGGCTCACCATAAGCAAATTAAAAAAACACAAAACACAGTGCATCTTAACAGGAAAAACAAACACTGGAGAGAAATTCGATTTATAAAGATGTATCAGTGCTCTTCCAACTGCTTTGACAGAACAAGCAGTACCAGCACAGAGCAGTGCCCTTCATGGCAGCTCTGCTGTGAGTAGTGCAACACTGACCTACTCCAGGAACCCAAACTCACCTCCCTTTGGAACCAGTATGTGTACAGATACATAAGGCCATCACATCAGCCTATGCCAGACAGGCCAAGCACATAAACATCTCTTCATCACCTCTTTTCCTCTGTTGGCTGACTGGAAGTGGAGGTTATTTTCTCCCTATGGTTTCAGTTTCTCCAGCACTAAAATGTACCACACAATTTAACTCTAAAGCTTCTTACTTCCCCCTTACTGGGGCTTTCAAGCTTAAGTGAATTAATCAGCATATGCAGTTTTAGGAAATGATTTATAGCTTATCAAAATAAGATGTGGCTTACCACATTGGAACTTCATGCTATGATAGTATCAAAGGAAACCACAGTTTCACTTTTGCCAAAAGTGAACCTTACCAAATTATATACATACAAATTTTCAAAGTAAAGATCTGTAAAGGTAAAGCAGAGTCAGGATTTTCAGCCTTCACAAAAGATGGCAAATGCTACAGGTGGAACACAAAGCTTAAAAGTTGATTCCAGAATTATTCTTTCCTGGCAGAAACTCCTGAAGTTGCACAGGAGTGTGAAGAGACCTTTCTATAAGTGGCATATACAAATAGATACAGTGCATTTATACTTTGTAGGCATGCAGAGTTTTCAGCTTGAGAGAATTCAGCTCACTGATTGCCTGAAGTGTGGGAGCAAAAGAAAATGGGTATTTAGCATCCCTGTGCTTGCCAGTTGCAGAACTTCATGAAGTGACATGTCTCTCAGAGATCTGACCTGATGCCAACATCATCCTTGCATTCTGTGCTGCATGGAGGAGTAATTTATTTTTTTTCTTCAATTAAGTTGCTTCAGCAAATTCTCCTGTCATTAGGAAAAGACGGCACTGTGAGGAGAGTTGTCATCTTTATTTTAAAATCTTGTACCAATTGATTTATATGCATTCTATTGACACCAATTTTGACAAGTTTTGTGTTCCATTTCATGTAACGGAAATTCCATAGCAGACATCTTCAAAGGGTGGTGGATTTTAGGCTGTTTTTAATTTTTAAACCACCTTCATAATTCAAAGCTACAGCCAGCTGAATTTCTGTTGGAATTGAGAAAACTTTATATAACCAGATCCACAGATGAAAATGATGCCAGCCAAAATTATACTCTTGTACAAAAAACAATTACACAACACTGATTAAATTACTGGATCAGTACCTTTTGAAGTCACTGAAATACATATTAATTAGGTTATTGAAGATTAGAGGTGGTGTTTTCATGTCATGGATGGGAGCTGGGGGGGAAAGGATTAAAAATAGTCAAATATGGTCATCATGAAGAAGCCATTTCTGCTAGTAAGCTACCAAACGTAAGTTTTCTTTTTAAATTCAATTACCCAATATTTACAGAAGAGTCTCTGAATATCAATCAGTTGCCATGGAAATATGGAGACTAAGCAGATAAACAAAAACAACACCTGAAATTAAACTGAATTTGAATGGACATGCAGTTTGCTTCCATCACTTGCATTGTATCAGGCATCTGTACACTGTGCAATATGTTTCATTCAACACATGGTTTGACACCCAAAGGTAACCAAGAAAGAAATAAGTTGTTACAATTAGCATCTTTATGTAAAATTTCACACTCCACAAAACAATGCAATTGACACAAGGGCTTACACAGAACATTGGGCGATATTTTGCACTCGCTGTGATGGCTTGGAAATATAATTCACTGCACAATACTGACAGAATATTTACAGAAAATAAGAGCAATCATTAGTCTCTTATAAATAAGGTGACCAAATATCCCAGCCTTCTATGAATACATGCAACCCCTCCATGATGAAATCATGTCAGTTATTTTGCTCTAATGAGCCTTCCTCCTATCCCCATCAGTATTCCAAAAACAAAAGAAAGATACCACACACAACCAGAAGTAGTCACACAACAAAACCCCATTCTTGTTATAAAATTTAAATTCTCAGACATCCTTTTAGTACTGTCTCATTTTAGTTCCATTTCTACTGCTTTACTTCAGTGGGTTTCCCCTTTCCCTGAATGTGATGCTGGTCCCCACCTTGACAGGAGCATGGAGGACTCTGGAGAAATGAACTATAAAAAGGCATCATCCCAGCAGTAAGGAAAACAAAAGAACATGGTTTGCAGGCAAAAGGAAAAGGAAGATGAAGACCCCATTTGTGTCTAGAAGGGTTATGAGACAGTGGACATTTTGGTCGCCTTAGTTACAAGTCTCTCTGTCACCTGCATGCATGGACTTTTGTTTTAGTCTGTAAGTGTTGATCTCACAATCACACACAGTTTTATTCAAACACCAAACTGGTGAACAGTGTTATGAACAATCACAAGGATGGAATAGCCTTTTCTCCCAGAAGTCACAAAACAAGATACTCCTTGAAGTCTTCTTACCAGCTGTGCAAATTGATCTGTACAAGTCCCATCTCCTGGTAGCCAGCACTAACCCTACAGGCATGACCAGCTCAAGCTGTGACCCTTTACAAGTTGTGTACGAGGTTGCCATTAAGGTGACGTTCAGCAAGGTTACCACACATGGCTTGGGTACCACAGTTACCAGCAAATCACTTTAATGGTGACCAATATATTATAAGTTACTCCAGCTACACACATATCAGAGAGGATTATTACAGAGACAATACTTTACACTCCTCTACCTGCAGCTTTCAGTTTGGTTTGGTTTGTTGCTGTTTTCTACACGGTGGTGGTCTCCCATGGCGCATAATGTGTTTTTCTAAACTATCCAGGATGGCAACAGCAATCCTTTGGACATGGGGATCAGTGTGGACATTTTCCTTGATGTTGTACAAATGCTGCAAACCACCTTCTTCAATTAACATGCTGCAGTATCTGGCAGCTGTAATAGAATTATATAGAGGGAATTAAAACCAGAATTATCTAGGGTAAAGGTAGCAGATACTTGTAAACACTGATTCAAATCCACTTTTGTCTCCAGGCAGTATTTAAGACACTCCCTAAAGTGTCCACAGAAGTCCATGAATACTTTAACAAGTGACAACACAACAGAGTTATTTGGACAGGACTCCAGCTGTAATCAGGTCTCTTACCAGTCCGTCTCAGCTGACTGGAAAGTGCCCTGTGACACGCACAGCATTCTCTTCCTCCCACCTCCTCTACAGGCATTTAAAGTGCACATAAAAAAATCCAGAAGAAATGGGAATCCAAAACACTATAGTTTCTATGACTCTAGGTAATAATAGCCCTTTTCCCAAAAATCTCAGTACAGAACAGTTACCAAAAAACGGTATCAGATATACCACATCATCTGTCCAGGCTTGGAGAGTGAATACAAATTAGTTCCTTCCAATAGTTTGCTGAATGTATCGATGGTAGCCTCTCATTAGTTTTAAGTTTCTACAAGTACCTTTCCAGGTTTTTTTCCACTTACATTCTGGAATTCACTAAGTTGAAATCACACCCCCATCAGCTGCAGCATTATTAAGAGCAGGGAACAGCTATAAAAAGAGCTGTAGGGTGAGTGTAATGTGCAAGCTCCAGAAGTCGTTATGGAAAGGTCAGGATGACTGTAATGCAATCCACAGGGCATTACCTCAGATGGGCCCAATTTCACCATTCATCTCAGTGATGCAACACCAGACTTGTTTTAAAGCTGATGTTGAGCATTTCGCTGGGGATCACATTTACTGTGGTGCTACCTAATATTTCAGCTAGGTTACCTTACTGAGGTCACTATGACACAAACAGCAGCAGAAGAAAAAAATATACTAAAAAAATTAAACCAATTACTTCCAGGCTACTTTATACTGTCATCTATAAGAGAGGGTCAAAATAAAAAGCATCTCCTCTCCATGCTAAAACTACTAAAAGCTTCCTTGGTACAAAGCACCAAAAGCTGAAGATTTCCCCCCTAAATACAGCTTCTTATTTCAGAATTAAACAAATTTTCCTCCAGAGTAGGTTATTATATTTGCTACTAAACATTTGGATTCTCTGCAACTTTGTCCAGAAGCTTCTGCCATCAACTACCACCAGAACTAAAGGAATTCTGTCTTGGTCTCAAATCAGGAGTAGGCCAATACAAACCTCAGTAGCATGTTAAAAGCTCAGAGGTGAGGAGAGACTAAATAGTAAAAATAAATAGAACAAATAGAACAACACAAAGTTAACAGGACTGAGGCACAAAGAGAAATTACAGGGCCTTATTTAAAATTTGTTATCCAGATCTGATCAGTAAAACAACTCTGTCAGAAGAGTCTGACTTCAATGTGAAAAACCTCACAGATTTCTGCACAGTACCCTGGGAACAGAGGCTCATTATATTTATGAGCTCTATGAAGGGCAGCAAAACAGTATTCTCTGTGCAGTTATATATTATGTCATGCTATTGGTTGGTCCTGAATAGATTCCTTATCACTGCAGCAATAGTGATTTATGGGACAGGGATAAACAAGCCTAGATATGCTGCCATCAAGGAGATTAAAAACTGGCACAGAAAACACTTCAAATACTTTAGAAGGAATCTGCTTTTTATAGATATATTCATGCCAAAAATTTCTGTTAAAAAAAAAAACCAAAAAAAAACCATTAAGAGCAAGGTTTGTCCCCTCCTGCATTTAGGTATGGTTGGAGAATTTAGTTCCTTTCCCCAACATTTGTGCATTACATCAAATGCTATCAAATCATTCTACTTCTCATTTTGCAGATGGGAAAGAGAGATTAAGAAAGTGACATTTATGTCACAGCAGGTTACTG